CACTACAGCTGCTATGTCGCTACCGCTACCGCCACCACGCCCCGTAGATTTATTTACCGCGTTCGCATCCTTTCACCGGTCGGGATAAAGGCTCTGACCATCTGAAACTACATTTACTACGTCGTGTTGCGCCACGCTACACTATGGTAAACAATATTTATCGCCGGATGACCGGGAAAAAATCGTAGCTCGAAACGTCGCTATTGATGTCGCTGCTATCGTCGGCGAGTATCGTCCAAGAATTGATCGTAAGGGTACGGATCGTTAAGTAAGGATGTTGTATTTGCATTCGTACGAACGATGCACGAGCAATTACATGTGAAATGACGAACGAGGAGGGTGTTTGGAAACATACTCGTTGAAAAATCTTAGGAACCATCTTTACCATAACAACGATAATTGTCTGGAAAATTTTGTTGAATTTCCAATGTGCCGTAAAAGCGAGCATCCTGAGTAACAGATCTACAATTTCTGACAAAAAGAAAATTCTACTTGTTACTACGTATATTAGCATAGGATTGCGATCCTAATAGCGGCAAGGTAGTAGTGGTAAAGATTTGTTTAACGGATGTGTTAACTTTAATTTCGTATAACTGTAGTTTCGGTTATCATATAAAAAGAATGGAAACAGAAACGCACATGTTACAGATAGAAAACATCCTAAATCCATCTGCAGCGTACAAATTCCTTGAAAAACACGTAGGAAACAAAAACATTTTTATTCTAAACATTTATAGAGAGAAAGAGAGAGAGAGAGAGAGAGAGAGCCGCGATTGTTGGTGATACGAGGTCCGACAGAAAAAGACGAGAATGACCTTACACAGCTTGGAAACCGAGAGTGGTAGGGTAGAGATAAAAAAACAAACAGCTATAAAAGATGTTTCGACTACCGATAATGTGAGAAAATTCAACTCGATCGTGTCAGTCGGTACAACTTGACGCATCTTCAAATATAAGCGTGTTTTTACGCTCGGTCAAAAAATGTCGGATTGCAAAAGTTAACAACCAAGCCATTGCTCACCCACCACGCGATGTCCGCCAAACAAATTATTCACTTTTAACAAAAACAACACCGTGCTCGAGTACCCATCCTACGCGCGAGATCTCGCCTCTTGCGATTTCTACCTCTTCTCCAAGATCAGAAGGCGATGCTTAAAGAAAGCCATCTTTCTGTCGGTAAACAGTGTAAAAATAAAAATGAAAACAGCGGCGTTTGTAAATTTGAGTCTAGTTACGTGAGACCTAACGATCGAGTCAACGATTCTTCGCAACGTCGTTGAACGTGCCTACTCGCACGATACGACTTTATCGCTCGAGTCGTGTCGACTTTTGTCGATCAAAATTACGAAGCTGGTAAATTACGAGGAAAAAGGAAAGCCTCGATAGAACGGAAAATCTTGCCAACCCAATGGCTGTTCGATTTCACGCGCGTCAGATTCGTCCGTATTTTCTTCACCCTTCTAACACCTTCTACCAGGCTTGCCAATCTCCCAGTGACTCCTCGATTTCGCATCGAATTCGTTTGTGTCACCTTTCTCCCAGAAACTCGCCGCCAATTTCGCATCGCATTTCAATCTACCGCGGCTCGCTCATCTCGCGCCATGTTCGCCCGCGAGTGACTCCGTCCTACAGGCTCGCGGATTACGCATCAGGTTGGTCCTCGAAAACGAGATAATTCTCTCGCATAGTAAGTTTCGTTGCAAGATTAACGCGATTAAACTAATCGTATTGTTTGTCGACCAAAGTATCGCAATAGCGTTCCCATGCGGAATAAAAAGAAAGTAGAATTTACATCCGCGAAAGCTATGGCTCGGATTTTCAAATTCAAAAACATCGAAAACGAGAAACACTTTTATCCGTACAAATATTTTTCTATAGGTTTCTTTACCGCGATTGAACCGAGTGGGAAAAAAATGCTAGCTAAATAAAAAATTTCATAATACAAACTTTTCCAGCCGTCGTTTATCCGTCGTTTATCCGCTATTTATACACAGTGCACGCGACATAAGCGTCTCATGACAAGCACAAAATGCAAAAATCACGTGCATTCTGTCGCAAAGCTTCGTTCGATCCGGCTGGGCCACTGAAATTATTCTTTTAAAAAATCGGACAGTCAAATACTCTTTCAAATATTCTTTTAAAAACAAGGGTCGTAAATATCGGCCGTGTATCTGTAAATCTAGCGCGATGTCGCGTCTATTTTCGACGACACAAAGGATAAAAGATGCCTAAGGGTATCGTGCCCTCAGAGGTGGAAATATCGGGAGGGAAAATGTAACTTGATTTTGTCGTTTCATTTCGTTTCGTTTCGTTTCGTTTCGTTTCGTTTCGTCTCGTTTCGTTTCGTTTCGTTTTGTCACGGTCGACGTACGAATTAAAGGGGACCGACAGAATGTCTTCTTATCAAATTCGTTACCCGTCGTGGAAGTTTAAAGTTATAGAACACGAACCATAAAGTTCAAATATCAAATCCTGCACCTAGTCGCTTCCGCTTCTGGATATCGAGCAAAGGTTATCGAAGCATATACTGCAAAATAGCTGAGCAAGCATCGCGTCCTATAGTTAGGAATGAAAAATAAAATTTACTCGTATAAAATGTCGTACAAAATCCGTTGGAACAAGTTTCCGACCTTCTCGATAAAATAAGATGGTCGTTGGAGGAATTCCGAAAAATTGCTTCGACATTGCTTCAACGATATTTCGATCTGATAATCTGTTTTAAAGAAAACCTCAAAAAAGTTATCTTATACTATAAAAATTACTATGTTAAACGACGATTCTTGTCTAACGACAAAATAAATAATAATTATTTATTCTTCTTCTTCTTCTTTCTTTTTTTTTTCTTTTTCCACCTACTGCAAACTCGTCACGAGGCACACCTCAACATACGTTAATAACCTTCTCTATATTACCTTTATTATTTCATAAGCTTCTGCCTCTTTAGTTTGTTTATATATACATAATTATATATACGTAATTTACCTACACGTACGTATGCGGTGAAAGTATGTGTTAAAAATAAAATTCGATTGCGTAATATACATTACCCGACGTACCTATGTATATGACATAAAGAAGATAAACGCGGTAAACGTTAATGAATGCATAAAATATTATTAATATGAGTGAGAAAAGCGGGTGTAGCAGGAATACATACACATTTGTAGTTTTAAAGTACCTACGAGACAACATAAGGATGCTATTCAAAGTTGAATAGTTGATCTTTTTAATATCTCTAAAAGATCATAAACAACACGAGGTGTACGAACGTAATATCCGTGTCGCGATGTTTTTCGCTTTAAGAGGAAACCAATTAAACGAAAACAGCCATTAAAAGTCCATTATACTCTAAGGACAAAGCAAATTAAAAATCCATTACGATCTAATACCACGCAATAATTAAGTAGAATCTCCAATTCACAAAAGAGAAGACTCGTGAACCATCTATCGCGCGATCCATTAAAATTCAATTTAAAACAAAAGACGCGTCAGATACGTAGAATATGGACTACTTAGTAATTTCGTAACATTGCGTATTACACTTTTCGTTGCTATACGACGGATAACGTAATTACGGCAAGTATACAATAGGCAGTCTGCTACGGCACGGCGTAAAAGGCTGAAACACGAAGGATAAGAGGATCGTATTGGAAGGCACAGTAATGCACAATCGACAGAAGGTCGTTCCCCGTACGAAAATATACTATATTTAATATATAAATAAAGTAGCCTTTTTAATGTGTTGTTTTAATGCTCGTTGTCAACAACGAGTTCGGGATACGCATTAGGTATTAGACAGATTTTAAAATTCAACTTTCCTCGTGACAAGACTTGAGACGAAAGAATGCTACATTTTCAACGTTCACGCGTAAAACGACCTGTCGATTATCTCGCCTGTCTAACTGCGAATTTGGTAAATTAACGCGTACTCAACAAATTTTCAAACCGAATTTTCTCGAAAACTAGGCTTATATTTTGAAGCGAATCTCCCCGACTTTGCTCGTATTTGCTTGTATTTTTACTCTTTCCAGGGTTTCACCGATATTTTACTTTATTATAGTACTACAATCTACTTTTTATGCTTTATAACACGAACAAACGGTGCTGCTGGATATGCTGATGAATGTACGTCAAAAGAAAAAAGAATACAGAAGAATAATATAACTTACGCTATCCTATTTAACAGGAAAATTTATACATTTCCATTCGCGTTAGAATAGAATACTAGAATTTCTTTTTCTCTTTCTCTTCTCTTCTTTCCTTTTTTTTTCTTTTTTTCTTGGATAAGAAATATTTGTTTCCCCTGTTATTCTAAACAATTTACTATACTAATTATAATATTATACGCTAAAATACGTAATATCTTAATTTTAATAATATTTTGGCCATTACCGCTCCACGTGTAATCTCTCGGATTGCTTATTAATTTTATTCTTTAAGTCATTACGTTATAAAAATTAACCTAATTTGTATGTCTAAATCTATTTTGTTTAATCGCGTATATAGATATTTCTTTTTCTTTCCTTTTCTTTTTCCGGAATTTCTCGAACCCTCGATCAGATTGTCGTAAGGAAATAAAAATTCGTACTCTCTGTGAGTAAGGAGAAATCTTTCATCGAACAGCTAATAACACGTTCGCGTTTCAAGATATATTTGAAATACTCGATAATTAGGGAACAGACAATTTTTCGAAAAAGAAACAATCTGTTGTAGAAAAGAAAGGAAAATACACCAAATACAGATTGTAACTATATATAAGTGGAGAACAGTAAAAGAAAGAAAACAGAAAGCAAGATAAAAGTGTTGCATGGAAATAAGAGCTTTAATAATATTCCGTTTATCCGTTCGAAACCGCGTCTGCTGAATACGGTGAGAAAAAATCCGACGGAACAACGAGCCTAGAGAAAGGGACAATGACGAAACCGTTGATGCCTGACCGCTGCTGCAACCTGGAACGAATTAACGCTTGCGTCGCGTCCCAACTTTGTTTATTATAATTTAAGGCGTACGCTTCTTTATGCGTGACTTCATCGTTCGCGTAACTAAAGCCGGAAATTTCCTACCTTTTTGTTAGATAAACGCTTCGACAAATTCAAATCGTGTGGGTGCCTTGATACAGTGAAATTTAACCACTACTTTTATTCACGCTCTATCATACTCTTTCGAATATTCACTTCTGATCTATGTATCATGAGGTAAGACAACAATTTCTTTAGTCGAAAGCTAAGAACCGTATCTATTTGCTCCGGCTTTCCTCTGCTTCTTCACTATTTTCCTAATGCCACGTATACGTATCTCTTTTATGAATATCGAATAGTTTCAAGTATATACAAATCTATTATACTTAACTGAATATTATACTTTTTACTATATATATGTGTGTGTGTGTATATATATATACACACACACACGCGCGCAGAAGTATACAGAAGCGCTGAAACGTTTGTGGAAATATATTATCTGAAGCAGAGAACGAGCAGGAATATCGAGATTGGCGTGCCCCTAACGATATGCTGATAACGATATCTTTGTAAATGGTATAGAATTCAAATAAATGCAACAAAGAGAGTACAGTTGAGCAAGAAGATGCGTCACGTAAGTAAATGAACGCTTGGAAAAATATACATATAGTTGGCTATCCTTGAAATTTGTTTCTCCTCGTGTAACAAAATGGTTTTTCCCCCAAATTCCAAGATCCTTCGACCAACTCATTTATCTTCGTTGTTACAGATATTGTGGCTCCGAAAAAAAAAATGGTTTGAATTTAACGATCCAGATGGTATAAATTACTACATTGTTATATTTTACGGTATAACTTCGAAAAATTGGGGCAAGGTGGGCAAGTTTTCTTTTCTTTTCTTTCCTTTTCCTGTATTTTCTTCGTTCGTTCTAGAAACTCGATTGAAAACTAAATGATTAGGAAACAATTAGTTACATATATAACGAATAGATTGGAGATTGGAGATTGAAAAATGGAGAATCTGGCGTGGCGCGAATTCGCGTTCGAGGATCCACTCACCTGTAAAGTTCCATTGATGATGTCTGCTGAATCGATCTCGTGCGTAAAGATCGCGCCTGATGAACATTTGGGCATGCCAGTATGAAGCAGAAATAACTCCACGTTCGGAAAATGCTCGTTTTCCCGTAAGTAATCAGTGAGTAACGGCAAGAAATGGTTCATTTTCGAGTAATAACGATCGAATTCACAGCCTCCCGTTACTACGTTAAAAACTGTATTATTCGAGCAACATTTTCTGACGTTTAAAAATTCCGATAACGATGGTGCTTTTGGGAATGGACGTGTTCGATCCTTGTCTTCGTTCGATTTACAGTACACGAGTGTCGGAACAACGACCCGAGTGATATCGTTGTACAGAATATCGATACAGTACGGACTCTGTAAATACAAAAAAGTTTAAACTTTCATCGACAACTTAGTTGCTGCGTCATCCTGCGCTCACTTTTCATGCTTATTATCGTAATATTTTCCCTTATCGTTGTTGTATCATAAATGTTTCATCTAAGAAAAGTGGTAGCAAGATCTGCATCGATTCTTTATATAGCACGATTTGCAACATGTATTGACAAACATAAAGTAAAACAAGCAACCGCTATCGCGTACCTGTAAAATATCAGCCGAGTTGATTTCATCAAGAGACAGAGTGGTAATGTATTCAGGCTTCTGGCAAATAGGAAGTTGGCCGTAAGTTACGTTCTTGTTAGTAGGATCACTGGCAACGATTTGCGGAGCACGTGGCGACGCAACGCAATCCACTTTCGACATCCCTGAGAAAACTTCTCCAAATGGGCAACATTTGTTGAAGGAACAAGCGACGCCGGCTGACAGAGACAACAACCACAAAAGAAGAAAATTTCTCGTTAGCGTCGGACACGAACAGCACTTTGAATATCTCGAAACTGATCGCTGCATAATTTCACCGATTTCACCCAACATCGTTCCGTTGAAAATCCCACTCAACTGCTGCTTTTTACGATTAAAGATGAGACGTTGGTGCCCTACTAAATTAGATATTCGATATTTCAATTAACAAGATGTTCGACTTGAACGTTGCACCGACCGTTACAACAGCTGAGACATTAACAGCAGCTGAAGTATTAAATATTAAGCTTGTACGAAGCCTAGTAACGAATATTTCCCGTTGTTTGCCGTTATTTGCCGTTAATTGCTGTTAAGCCAATCAAACTCGTTGATCAAATAAAAAGGAAAGGATCTAAATCGCGAAGCCAAGTATAGACAAGCGTCAAAATGACCGTTGCTCGTCCACACAACTTCCACCAAACTCTGAAAAGCACGGAGCTCGACGATTCTGCTGCTATGTATACTTGGAGACCTTGACTCGAGTAAGTCTCATCCTCGGTCGGATTTTCCAAGAACCCACACGACTTCTGGCCGTTATACGTGGAATTATTTGACCAAATACACTCTACTTTCTCCACCGTTATTCCTTTGTTTCTCTATTTATTTGCTTTTCTTCCTTTACTATTTTATTTATTTCTCCATTCATTATATTATTCTCTATATGTATCGCTTTATCGCGTAAATTCACCGTGGTGGTAAATAATCATGAAACGGTCCGATGCTAACGTTAAACGACACGAAGAAAACAGTAAGGTACAAGTGGAAATGATAAACGTACAAACGAGAACCGCCTTTTCACGAGAATCGTTTGTCGAATCGGCAATCTTCGTTCGTTAATGAGACTTCGTTGTGTTATAAACTTTTAATGCGTGTGTTGGAATTTGCGCGGTCGGTAGACATCGTTACTCGTCGTTACTCGTCGTTACTCGTCGTTACTCGTCGTTACTCCTCGTCAATCTTCGTAAAATTCAATTTGTACAATTCGTGTAAGCCGTCTCCGATCGATTAAATTGTCGCGTCCATCGCATAATGCAACGTGTTGCACGCACCTAACTGCATTCGGATAATCTTCGATTACCAGGTAGCTCTATTCTTCCAAATCAGATAGAGCAGCAGTTTAGAGTTGTCAGTTTAAGGACAACTTGAATTTTAATCTCAAATTTTTCTCGGTTCGTTGATCAAAATCTTCTCGTGATTCCGTCACATGCCAGCGGATAACCTATCGGCGCAGGTGCAGCAAACTGCTAATCTCTCACCTTCCCAAGTATCGCGATTGATTTCACAGTTCCATTCCTACTGCGTATTTTACATATTTCCTTTCGATTCGAAGCTTCGAGTTCTTTCCTTGCTATTCCTCGTTCTTCCTCGTTGTTCCTTGCTCCGAGATGTTTCCAATTTGTCTTTTATTCGCGGTGTTAGGAAAGCAAGTTTCGCTTATTTTTCATTGATATTTTTATACCAGAGCCTTCTATAAAACGCGTATATTTTCTATCTTTTCATCTTTTTATCTTCCTCTATATCACATTATCAATTACGAATTATTTTTACATACCTGTCCGTTTCTCGAATTTACATAAGAGAAAGCTCATCTATTTAATTCGCTGTTCCTCCCCTTTCTCAACGATAAATTTCAATTATAACACAACGATAACACAAAATTGCGATATTATCATATACGATATTACCGAAAGACGCAAGTTAATTATTTCATCAGAAATTCGTACTTAACTCACAAACGCACCTAGATCGTTCAAATTTCGTTCGTTTTATCTTTTTCGGTCGTGTTACTATTCCGCTGCTTCTTCTTTTCCCATTTTTCTCTATTACGCGAAGATTACGCGACGATTACGCGACGATTACGCGACGATTACACGACGAGCCTCGCAATCTCCGCCAACTTTTGCTCCAATCTTTTACAACTTCTCACTCTTCTTCGCGACACACTTTCTTTTTCCTGAATTTGAATTATTCCAGCAGCGTTTTTAATTCTCGGACACGAACCTATCGTGCCCCTTCGCCTTACGGTTCGTAATTATTTCAACGACGCCTTGCAGAAGCAAGAATTCTTTCTTCCACCATTTCCATATTCCCAAGTGCACTAGTACCTTGTACAAGACACCTTTTTTCGAATCTCACTTTTTGGTTTCTCTTTTTTACAGTTTTCTTCTTCTTTTTTTTTTTTTTTTTTTTCACGCGACTAATCGATCCACAAATAGATCACCGCCGTCTCCTCGTTACCTCCTTCTTCCTGTCTTCTCGTCCACCCAATTCACAATGTTCATCGAATTGCAATAAAGAAATTACTCCGTCTAACCTAATCTTTTTATATTCTAGTTTCGTCCTACAATTTCCACCTCTCGACATTCGAAACGATTTACCGTGATTTATCGCGCGAGTTATCCTAAAATTAGATAGAGAGAATCATACGTGTCACGCCGAATAAGCAAATCTTTGTATCGACAAAGCTATTCGATAAACGATTATTCGAGCATTTATTTTTGATGGATGAATCCTACGATCGTCACTGCCGATTTCCTTGCCCCCTTATCGTTTTCCGCGGCCAAGCTGGTTCAGATTCCCGAATTCCCGCATTCCTGCATTCCCCCATTCTCACATTCCCGCCAACGTACCGCCGCGTATTCGACAACGGCGCGATGCGTCCATATGACACGACACGGTGAATACGCACGTAGAAACTCGACTGTACGTTCGCACCAACCGACAGCGGAGATGAGAGAGAAATTCGACTAGACTTGCCGCTGAGTACAACAACAACAAGACCATACACGACGCGCCTCTTTTCGCCCAGTCTCCCTCCCCTCCCCATCCTTCCCACGAATCCCCTCCTCAACGTTCGTCTTTTTTCTTCCTTCTTCTTGGTCTTCGATGTTCTTAACGTGATCCGTTTAATTCGATCGCGATCGATCGACCGGATCAAAGTAATTAATCTCGACTCGCCTTCTCTACTCTGGTTTTTTGGAAACACGAGGTGTAATACGAGGTCGGTCGTTAAACTCTTTCACGATCGAGAAAATGATATTCGTAATTGAGTTATCCAGCCTATTCGTACGCTAGATTTTACAATATTACAATCCGAATATCTTCTAAACTAATCGTTTTCACGCACAAATACCTCTATCTTTCGAATGTGCGAACAATTCTACTTTCGAGACAGCCACGCACCTAAGTATATACATATTCGCTTACCACGTAATGTACCGATCGAATCCGTTTAATTTTGCTTTATGTAAGATTTGCTTTATACGAGAAACACTTTGTACGTCACTTGGTTAGATCGCCCATACGTAATGGACGTATTTTTCGCTCATTAGTATCGATACTGCTGCAGCAGCAGTAGAAGCAGTGATTTACGATCAGACTGCGAGGTAAAGTGATCGTTCAACGAAGAAAGATATTGTTTGACGCGCTGTACATACATACGTATATATCACCTCTGGTTAAATTTTTCAATTGAAGTAATTATTGTCAGATTCCGTTCGGTTCAAACAAATAATCGTGCCATTCCACCGATAAGGTGAACCTGTCGGGAAACTAGGTTCTCGCTAATTTCGACCATCTCCGAATACGTGGTCGGGGTCAAAATCTAGTTTCCGAGATACTCGCAAAAGATAGGAGTATCGTGCGTGCGTAACGTACGCGTCGTACTGAGTACGCCATAGAATCTGATCGATGATACACCTGTATACAGTACACGCGACAAGCATCGTAATACCTAGAAACGTCCGCTGTAAGAACGGCACTCGCATATATAAAAAGTACAGGGCAAAAAATACGGATAAAAGTTTACTTTCGTGACTCGAGAGAATCGATCGAGAGAGAATCCGTGACAGCAACAAAGTGGAGCGACAGTACGCGACGAACGAGCACGAGAAGAGGTTGACAAAATCTTCCGTATCGTTATCGCTTTTCGATATTCAAATTTACGCCAAACGACCTACAGACTCTTTGCACGTCTTTGTACCTAACTAAATGCAAGTGAAAAATTTCCAAGTTGAAAAATAAACCAACCTATCGTCCAGAATGTTATATTTATAATTTGTTTACAGTTGCGTATGACGTAAGATTACATTTTGCGGAACTACTCGGATCTTTTACGTATAGTAGACGCATCCTCTATTTCTTCCCCGTCCTTCTATTCGTAACAAAGATAAATTTATTAATTAATCGTTATTAAATGGTTTTATCAATTAAATTGGTATTATTGGTTTTTTTAGAAACATACCGACTCGAAACTTGTATAACGATAAATAGTAAGAAGATAATCATCGGCTATGTTTTTATGAACAAACTGTAGGAAATTTTTTACTTCGAACAGCACGAACAAAGACTCGCATCAGTCTCATACACACATGATATTCAGAAAGCACTCACATAGCACTTAAAATTTGTTCGCTATGTATTCATCGTCGTTTAGTTACTCGACCGAAGCGGCTTAACCAACAATTCTGTTCGCTACAAGCAAATCTAGTCTGTCTGTTTCCTCCCCCCCCCCCCTCCATTTTTCTAGGCTGTTTATAAGACGCCGTAATTTGCGCGTCATCGATAGAAAAAGAGGTATCGTATTTCGTTGTCTAGGCGAAACACGCCTTAGTATGGTATTCGACCACGAAACACGATTGAAATAAACTATTCAGCGTGAAACTGGTTTCTGGTATCTGGATCTTCCCTTTTATAAAGAATGACTCATTGCCGGAAACGATATCGACAGTGAACTAGTGAGAAAACAGGATGAAGCGATTTCGTTAACCTAAAACCTGTTTAGCTGGCAAGCGTTTTTCTTCTTCCACTGGTGTCTTACAAGCCGTTACTATACTACATTATACTATACCATACCATTCTATACTATACCATTCTCTCTTTGTTTATAATTTTCCCTTTGACGTTTCCATTACCGCGAGATATTTCCAACGTAGCGTCTCTCAGTTCTTGTTTCCCCCCCCCCCCCCCTCCATTTTTCTAGGCTGTTTATAAGACGCCGTAATTTGCGCGTCATCGATAGAAAAAGAGGTATCGTATTTCGTTGTCTAGGCGAAACACGCCTTAGTATGGTATTCGACCACGAAACACGATTGAAATAAACTATTCAGCGTGAAACTGGTTTCTGGTATCTGGATCTTCCCTTTTATAAAGAATGACTCATTGCCGGAAACGATATCGACAGTGAACTAGTGAGAAAACAGGATGAAGCGATTTCGTTAACCTAAAACCTGTTTAGCTGGCAAGCGTTTTTCTTCTTCCACTGGTGTCTTACAAGCCGTTACTATACTACATTATACTATACCATACCATTCTATACTATACCATTCTCTCTTTGTTTATAATTTTCCCTTTGACGTTTCCATTACCGCGAGATATTTCCAACGTAGCGTCTCTCAGTTCTTGCCATTTACTTTGAAATCATTCGAATCAACTTTCTAGTTTCTACAACTTGCGAAACCAATTATAGGAGAATTTAGCATTTGTAATATTTACGTAAATGGCTATGGCAAAGGATAAACTAATCCCAATTTTCTAACAACTAGATCCTATCGTTATACGTAGGTGGATGAAGAAAATTTGACCATCGTTAAATTATCGTATCTAACTAAATATTGCGAGTAACCAACGAATTTTTCTTCGTAATTCATTTTCTATCGATCTATTCCCATTCCGTTTACCTAATCTATCCTTTTATCATACTAGCTATATTTTTATCAGTGATCGTTATTTATCGTTGGTCGTTATTCTCACCTCTCCGTGGCAGACGTATATAAAAAGGGAATAGAAATTAATTTTCGCCACGGACCTTGCGTTTAACGCTCTCCGATTAATCGCCTTCGTTGCGAACCATCCTGTCGTTTACCAACCTTCATCCACCCCCTTTTGTAATTCCTTCTTCCTCCATTCTCGTCTCCATCTCCATCAATTTACCGCGTTTGCGCATCTCGCGCGAAACGATTTTTTAAACTCACCGACTCGTTCGTTAGGCGCGGCAGTAACGGTATAACCGTAGAAACGA